GTGTGTGTGTGTGTGTGTGTGTGTGTCAGTCAGTTCTGGCACACACTGACAGATGAGGCACAGAGAGGCTTTTTATATTTGCTGAAGAATTTGCATTGTAACCACCAAGGCTGCTTGGGTGAGCTGCCTGTCGAGCTCTGATCTCCTGTACCCTCCCTCTATACTTGCTTTTACTGGTTTTTTTTTATCTAATTCTTCTCTTAACAGTGGATAATTTTTATCAATGATAAACTTTAGGGTCATGAGTTTATTTCAAATTATGGTTTCATGTTTCATCAAAAGCGTACACACTTAACATACAGATAACTGAATTTCTTACTGACCCTCTCTCTCTCTCTCTCTCTCTCTCTCTCTCTCTCTCTCTCTATAACTTCATGATTCTTCAGCCTGCTGAGGTCTTTGAGTTTGAGGGCAACGTCTACAGCCACCATCTATCCCCCATCGCCAGGAAGCACAGTCTCATCGCAGGTGCGTGTATTTAAAAGCACTCAGTTTTTTGCTGATGTTACTGATGCAGGACAAATAAGCTGCGTGCCTTGAACTTAGGGCAACATTTTCATTAGTTACCCAGTCTGTCATCAGTTTATACCCCAGACCTTACGTGGATATTACTTCAGGTTAAAAAGTACATATAACATTTACCTGGAGGGAACCGAAGTTGGTCAAAATCACGTGGACTCAGGTTCAGAGTCACATTTCTGTGGAGAAACTCTGTTGGAATCTAGGTGCTACTTCACCGTGTCACCAAGCAGGACCAACAGGTTACTCATGCCTGAGTATGTGCTCGTAAATCTCCCTGTTACTTCATCCCTTTGACACACCTATTTCCAAGACAGACACTATCACAATGTCTTAATGTTTTATTTTCCTCAATGTGATGTTCTCTATTCAAGGAGTTACACATACTCGTCAAACAGGGTGCACCTTCAGGGAAAACCGCTTTTAAGGTCATCTCTTCCTAAAAAGATTCAGTAGCTCATGAATTCAGCAATTTTAAGGCAATTGCGATTTCAACAACAGTCTAATCACCTTCTTTACCCTCCTCCCCTCTATAGCTGGGTGTGTTACATCATGTTTATCAAGAGTTGGGATCATTGAGTTTTCATATTTACCACACCTTATCTGTGAGAAACTGAGACACCAAGTTTCAACCCCTGAGTCAATGCTCTCTTATACATGTAGCAGATGGTTCTGGGTCTTTTATCACAATCTGTTAAAATTGACAATATTGATAAGAAGGAATGTGATATTAAACTGTGCGATATATTTGAGATTTCTCCTTTTAAAGGTCCAGTGTGTAAGATTTAGGTGAAAGGGATCTATTGGCAGAAATTTAATGCAGAATAATCCTCATGATGTTTTCACTAGTTTGTTTCATCTAAATTGTATGAATTGTAGTTTTCTTTACCCCAGAAAAGGCCCTTTATATTCAAATACTTTATATTTACATCGAGGGAGTCCTCTCTACAGAGGCTGCCATGTTTTTTACATTAGTCCAGACTGGACAAACTAAACACCTTTTGAGTTTTTATGACAACTGAAGCTACCACAGGTTCTTTTTCATGTTTGGAGGGTGAGGGTGAGGTGAGGGGTGTTCAGCTGCAACATGCAATTTGCATGTCACATAATTCACACACTGTACCTTTAAGTCATCCTAGTAATTACTTCTTAAAGCTTTCGTAATAATTCTATTTCGAATGTTGTCCCTCAACTTTCTCTTTGTTTTTTCTTTACCAGTTGGCACCAAAAACCCTAAAATCCAGCTGTGTGACCTGAAGTCTGGTTCACGGATTCACGTTCTTCAGGGTTAGTGGACGAGATCCCTTTTGCTTCTGTTTTTTCCACACATACATCACTGAGTGAAAAACAATGACCTTTTTCCCCTTCAGGTCACAGAGCAGAGGTACTTTCTGTGCGGTGGTCACCCAGATATGAACACATCTTGGCCACTGCCAGGTAAGAACTCTTTGTTTCTGAAATCGCCACAGAGGTTTGCCCTCAGAGCCTCGTCAAAGGAAAGTGACAGGTACAGGACAATCCCACCATGTTGTGTCCCAGTACTCCTTGTCATCTCAGCTCCTGGCCATCTGGCCATGTTGCAACCCTGAGTCAATGATAATGGCACCACACTGCTAGCAGATAGGCACAGTGGTGCTCTAGTTGTCCTGTCATACGGTAGATACAGTCCCCACCTGTTTTATGCTGCATTAGACCTGCTAATTAACCTGCAGGGATCAGTGTGTTGTCGTCCCCGTAGACTGTAAGTGATTCTGAAAACAACTGGCACAGCGAGATCCACACTTAACAGTGTGTGATATATTCTGTTATCGAGTAGCATGTTAATTACCAACAGAAAACTCATCTTAAACATTGGTTTACACACACACTGGTGTGTTATATAAAATGTCTGAGCATACAGTATATTGTACCTATAATTCCCTATTGCACTTGTCAGCTGAAAAATTATACATGTCATATTTCAGATTAAAAGACCATATCTGTCAGTAATTCATCAAGCGAGAGCAAAACAAACAACTCCCCAGATTCTCTTTCTAAGTGCAGACAGCAAGGTGAAAGTATGGGATGTACGCCGGGCCTCAGGTTGTCTCTTCACTCTGGATCAACACAACGGAGACAAGTCGAAAGCCTCCTCTGAGGCAGGTAGTGTTACCTCCATCCCTTTCATTTCTTTTCATATCCACCATCTTTACTTCTTTGTGTTCATGGCCTCTGTTAGAGAAAAATAAAACCTACATTCACTTTAAAGGGAGACGTGTTCTGTTAAGAGTTGTGTTGAGATGTGTTGCATCACGTACGTTTTCCCCTTCCTCAGCCTTATTCTACGTCCTGTCACTCACATATTTAAGGCAGTTTTACAACAACATTCAGCTCTTGTTGTGATGTCAAGTATTTTTCAGGTTAGTCAGGTTGATACAGATGAAGGTTTGTCTCTCTGGTGGAGATGTTGACATACTGCACACTCCGTATCTGTTGTTTTCTGCTGAAAGGTCATGTTTGTTTGGTGAAGCCACAGGAAACCAGTTTGCAATAAAACAGTTTATCCATAACTTTACCGTGTAATATTATAGGAGAGAGGGAACTTAACAACAAATGCACTAACCGTATGTAATGTAAAGATGTGAATGAGATGTGACTGGATGGAAAAAATATGCAATGACGAACTTTTAGCATGATTGTGTCTTACCTTTCTTTAACTAGTAAACACAGCCCATAATGGCAGAGTGAATGGCCTGTGCTTCACTGGTGACGGCCTCTATATCCTCACGACTGGGACTGATGATCGCATGAGACTGTGGAACAGTGCCAACGGGGAAAACACGCTGGTGAGATGTATGAGTGAGTGCTTTGCACTTAAATAATGTAGAGACCCATTTCATTTGCCTTTAAATAACCTGATTTTTGAACAACAAGTGGATAAATGCCCAAAACATCCCACACAATACCCTCCAGGCTAGTTTTAGAACCTGAAGAAACTGTTTGCTGCAGACAGTTCTTATGCTATTGTCCTTAGGACACAAAGATGAACTGATTGAATTTGGTGATCCGATCCAAGGTCAGTATCACCATGACCTCATGTAACATGCTTTGGTAAAAGCTTCGGGTCTATACAAAACATGTCACCTCTGAAACAAACCTATAGAACAGATACATAACCTTACCCTAAAAGCCTGGGGAAGCTATTCTGTTGCCCTGGGCTCTCACATGGTTTCCTGTTCTAATTTTCGGCTCTGCTGCCTCGAGCCGCAGTTGCCATTGTGGGCATTTTTCCATCTTCAGGCACAAGATAGCTAGTGAGGGTAGATGACTCTCTCTCTCTCTGGGTAGGAATTTCTGGTGCACATTCCATGCCAAGAGGTTCTACACCTGCAATGTTTATTCCTTTGTTTCTTTGTGCTTGTTTGACCTGGTTCAATTGTCTCTGAAACTAAACGACCAAAATTAATATATCTACAATAGATTTTAGACTTACATACTTTTGCATTATTGAAAACTTGTGTTTTGTGACAATTCCGAACCTATACATGATTTAGAAGTGTTTAAAATAGGACCATTATATGCTAATATTACATTATGTATGAATGTAACAGCTTATCTCATGTGTGTGTAAGTGCTTAAGAGAAAATGATATGCAGTTCTGGTTATGCTTTCACCAAATTCTGTAAATGGGGCCCACGTTTCAGGAACTATTTCAACTTCTTTACTGGAGCCTTAGAGAAACTTCCTTCCCCCTAGAGTTTAAATTAGATAAGCATCTGCTGTTTCACTAAATGCTCCAACATATTGTTCTAAACAAGTGATTTTTTCTTTTTTCTATCATCACCAGCTTCCTATTTATCCAGGAAACCATCACACATTGTTTAATTTATATCCTGGCTTTCATTCACTCAGTATCTGATCTATTTGTCCCTCAGGTGAACTATGGGAAAGTCTGCAACGAGAGTCGTAAAAAGCTCCAGTTCACTGTGTCACGGGGCTGCAGCCCAGAGTTTGTGTTTGTGCCATGTGGCAGCTCCATCGCGGTCTATGCCCTCCACACAGGAAAGCTGGTCACCATGCTCAGGGGTCACTACAACAACGTCGACTGCTGCGAGTTCCACCCAGACTACCAGGTGACACACCCTGCCAGTGTCTAGTTCCTGTATCTGGCCAGTATACAGGGCTGCCTTTGTCTTTATTCCCACCTATCTACTTCTTTCTGTTCTGCTGAGTTCAGATCAGTTCATCTCTCTTGCTCTCTCTCGCTCTGTTTTTCATTTATCTCTCTGGTGTCAGTGCAGCAGCAGCTCTTAGAAATTTGCAATCTCCAAGTCGGTCCTAAATAAGCCACTTCCCCATTGACAGATAACATGGTAAAGTCAACATTTCCTGAGCTACACTTAGCCACTATAAATGCAAATACAGGTGTCCCCATTGTGAAACACAAGTTAACATTCTCCACTTAAATGTTGATTATGACTGTGTAACTTTCAGAAGATGCTTGGCAAAAGTTTTTCTGCACAAAAGTCTCAGAGTCAAATACAGGTGATACTTTGGTTTTGCTATTATCTTTAACATACATTACGATTTGCAGTGATTGGTGCCTTATTTTAGCTTCCTTCACTTTGTCTGCAAATGTCAAACTTCAGTAATTTATGTTATGTACAGTAACTATTGTTTTCTTTTATAAAGGTTTCTGTAGTTTCATAATTCAATGTTTTGTCATGACCCAACAGCACATACACAGACAGCTCACAACAGCTCTTTGAGATATGAGATAACTTCAGTAACCTTAAAGATAGTGTTATGTACTCAAGTGACAGATGCTGGGTGTGACAATAAATATGAAACCTGAAAGGAGTATGTGGAGTTGACTTTGGCAAAAGACAAACACACTTTCTACTAAATGTACAAGAGCTGTCAGTATTGTTGTGAAAATCTGCTGATCAATAGTCAACTCATCAATGAAGAAAGCGTTCAGGAGCCCTTTATGCTGAAATATTTATTGAAGCTTGGCCAAGGAGAAAATCAGAATTCATCCATACAACATCTGTGCATGATGCTCTCTCATATTCTGAAGTCTGCTTTCCTGCAGTCACACTTTAAACCCAAACAGATCATTTAATCTATGGGTCTGCTTGTTCCTAAACAATCAAATGTATTTATAGTTATGGAGACAGTAGTGCTGCTTATGCAGTCTCATATCTGTCATGTCTAGAGTGAAGGCTTTGACCTTCGCCAAGCTCTCGCACTTCCCAAACACAACAGCCTGTTGCACCGTGCCCCAGAGGACAAGAGACAGTGTCTATGAAAATTCCATAACAAGTATCAGTACATTTAGATTGAGGATTATAAGGCTGCAGAAGACAGAACATGCAAATGACACATCTTTGCCAAAAACAACAAAGAACTATTTATTTGGATTTGGATTTTACTTTAAGGCAGTTATGAACTATTTCCTTGCCATGTTTCATTATTCAGTTTTTTTAATATATAGTTTTTTTTTATGTATAAAGACCATTTCAGTTTGATTCAGTTGATGTGACCTGACATGTGTATCATGCTGCTGGCATTAAAAGCAAAACAGACCCTCTCTCTCTCTCTCTCTCTCTCTCTCTCT